TACAATTTCTTAATGTAGAACATAGTATGAGAAATTTACCCATATGTTTTAATTCCCGAACGCTCAGTGTTTGTGTATTATAAAAGAAGCTGTGAATGGGGAGGGAGGGGCTTGTCCATCTCACCACATATTGTGCACCTCACAAATGGTGTAATGTTTAATACAGCGATTGATGATTTTCAATCAACCGTTTACATCGATGTGCTTGTCTTTTGGGGCATCTTTTCTCATGTTTTTTTTATGTTTGTACATGTAAATCAGCTCCTTGATGTCTAGGAGTGATTGTTATACCTGCATGGTACAGCTTTCAGAAAGCTTCAGGGCTGACAGTCACCTTTGACATTTTCCTGTGTCATTTGAAAGTGAATTTTCATGGTTAACACCCTGGCTTAGTTTAATTTCTGAAAGTACAGATATTGAATATCGTTTTCGTCCCATCAGACAGACGTCACGGGGCTTCTGCATGAAATGCAGGAATTCCACACCTTCCCTCTTTCCAAATCACTCACTTTTCTTGTTTGATATTATTAACCTTCTTCCTTTAGTAGTCATTCTTTAGTTCCTTTAATTTTCCAGGAGAGTTTGCCAAGTATCCCAGTTGATAACACAGAACATTAGTTTATGGTCTGGGTTGGGTTTTTCTCTCTCTTTTGTTTTGGGTTATATGACAGGATGTAAAACTGACGAGTTGTGCATAGCCAATAATACTGTATATGTACTTGATTGCTTTTTTTTTTGTGATCAATTAATTTTGTTCCCCCATTTTATGTTAGTCAGAGGTCATTGAAAGCAGTTCAGCATAATAGAAATAAACCTGATCTGTTTAACGCAGACCGTTTTGTTAAGTTGATTTTGTCATTGGTCCATTCATTTGACATAAGCAGAGGTGCAGGGCATTCATTAAACAGAGCAGCAGATTAAGCACTATTAAACATGATTCACACCATTGTATATAACATGTTGTATATAAAAGTTTACATAGGCTACTCAGTAGCCATTCATACTAAATGTCAATTTAAGTTAAATCTAAATGAAATGTTCCAGGTTCAGGGAAAATTAATCGACAGCATGTGAAAAATATAGAAATTAGTTTTCTGATTTACTTGTCCCTCGTTTTCTAGCTTAAATCTGGGTTCCAGTGAGTCCGGTTCACAGCAATAACGAAAACTGTAGGCTACTTTAAACTATTGTTCTAATTTCATACGAATATGGCAGCCACAGCACAGTTATAACGATAACGATGCAGAGGAACGATATCTCGGAATCACACTAAACATATAAAGCGTTATACTACATCTAACAAACAGAACGTTACGGTTCTTGGTATGAATGGGCCTTTACAGTTGAATGACTGAATAGGGTCAATCCGTAGGCGTTAAAACACTCACTGTTGTTGTAGCTACTAGACGTAAATAATACACGTTAACATGACTTCAGAGGGGAAAAAAGTTCTAACCTTTTCTGTGTGAAATTATATCCAAATTTACAACTTTGTCCACAGGTCAACGTAACTCTTGTCAATTTAAGTTAAATCTAAATGAAGTGTTCCAGGTTCAGGGAAAATTAATCGACAGCATGTGAAAAATATAGAAATTAGTTTTCTGATTTCTGTCCCTCGTTTTCTAGCTTAAATCTGGGTTCCAGTGAGTCCGGTTCACAGCAATAACGAAAACTGTAGGCTACTTTAAACTATTGTTCTAATTTCATACGAATAGGGCAGCCACAGCACAGTTATAACGATAACGATGCAGAGGAACGATATCTCGGAATCACACTAAACATATAAAGCGTTATACTACATCTAACAAACAGAACGTTACGGTTCTTGGTATGAATGGGCCTTTACAGTTGAATGACTGAATAGGGTCAATCCGTAGGCGTTAAAACACTCACTGTTGTTGTAGCTACTAGATGTAAATAATACACGTTAACATGACTTCAGAGGGGAAAAAAGTTCTAACCTTTTCTGTGTGAAATTATATCCAAATTTACAACTTTGTCCACAGGTCAACGTAACTCCAGCAATTGTCACTGGAGGCCTGTTGTCCTGTAGAATTAGGTCCAAACTTGACCTAACTCACCTGTCTGTAATTGTCTAGCAATCCTTTAGACCAGGGATCCTCAAATCTGGCCCACGAGATCCACTTTCCTTCAGAGTTTAGCTCCAACCCTAATCAAACACACCTGAGCATGCTAATCAATGTCTTCAGGATCGTTAGAAAATCACAGGTAAGTAAGTTTGATCAGGGTTGGAGCTAAACTCTGCAGCGCATTGGCCCTCCAGGGTAAGATTTGAGGAACCCTGCTTTAGACAGATGAGTTTGAGAGAGGTTAGATCTAAACCAGGGCTGTCCAAACTCGGTCCTGGAGGGCCGGTGTCCTGCAGAGTTTAGCTCCAGCTTGCCTCAACACACCTGACTGGAAGTTTCTATGCCTAGTAAGAGCTTGATCAGCTGGTTCAGGTGTGTTTAATTAGGGTTGGAGCTAAACTCTGCAAGGACACCGGCCCTCCAGGTGTCCTTCCAGCCCCGTTCTAAACTATGCAGGACAACAGACCACCAGGGGGCACATTTGAAGAAAATACAGACTTTTAGTTCAAGGAATTGCTTTTATAAGCTTCACATTTATGTTTTTGAACATACTTCAAAATGTAGTGAACCTGAAAGCAAAGAAATGCGAATGGAGATGTACCACTAGATGGCAGGATTGCACTAATAGTTGCAGAAGCCATTATTAAAAATGGATTCCCAAATGATTGACATGCCAAGTGCTCCTTCTAGACACTCTGAACATATAAACCACTTAAAATGAGTGAACGATTTTGCAACCATAAGGTTAATTTACTAAATCTAGTCATTTACTTTCACACTTAATGACTAAATAAAAAGACACACCAATGATATTGCATATCTTTATAGAAAAAATAAGCTTTCACATTTCAAAACTTTTTTTGCCTGGTTTTTCCAAGTTTTTTTGTTGTTGTTTTTTTTCTTCTTTTGGTCAGTTTGAATTTTTATAGTTCCTACATTTACGTGGTAAATAAACATTTTGGCAATAGCCATGCTCGTTCAGTCTCCTCCGCCGAGGCACAGTCCTTAACGTCTTCCAGCTGAGGTGGTGGAGACAGTCTGGAAGTCTCCACGTTTCAGGGACGTGGCAAACCGTCACTGAAGAACAAGCATTTAAGACAGTCCTGCTTAAGGTAGAACGGCCGTGCTGCAGTCCTATTCTGCTCCTGACAAACATCTCCGGATGTCCTCCGGACGATGAACATCTTCCATTCTCAGCTTGAATTAATGCAGTAGCATGAGGCTTAGCTCTGAGTCCAGTTCTGCCATACTGATGAGCCGTGACTCATCAGTAGTCAAAAGGCACTGTGCGTCCAGCACAGACTGCGGCTCCTGTACACATTTCTGCTGATTTACATACCTTGGTTTCTTAATCTAAACAGTTCAGACAAGAGCAAAACTGACAACAACAACATAACCCTCTCTCAAAATGACAAGACAAGTTTAAACAGGAACAAAAGTAATGCAATGTTTAAAAATAAACACACAAAACCAACCATAGGTGTTGCCCAAGTCATTCTGCCAACTATAATTAACCAGACCGATGAGAGTTTAACACAGTACAGGTATTTGGCCAAGTCAACAAAACTGGACATTGAATATATTCATGGCATCAGAGGGACCGTCGTCACCTCTCCAAGCAGTTTGTAACAATGACAGCTGCAACCACACTTGTAGGGTTTTGTGCAAAAGGTTCAGTGCAAAACCAAAAAAATGTCAATTTTGTGCAGGTCGGTTATGGGAAGGATAGCGACAGGCTGACCTTTAAAACCTTTACGCATCTTATATAGTTCTGTCAGAAGTCCTTCATTTGATCTATACCAGCATGTCTACATTAAAATCACATTTTAAGCTTATTCTCATTTGAGACTTTTTAATTTTTACATGGTAAAATATTTTAAAACAAATCCTAATTGTTGCTGATCCAAATGTCTACACCGGAGACGCCAACACAACATGAACCTAAACGCTAAATGCTGGTCCTTTCAGAATCACTTCAGTGGGCCAGTTACTTCAAAATTAAAGACCTACTTTTAAATGATATTTAAACTGTTTTCCAAGTTAGCAGATGATGTAATTCAAATACATACTGTGTCGATTTGGCCAGTTTGTGTAGAGCGGCTAAAACTGACTGTCCGCCCAAAGTAACTGAGAAACGCTGAGAACACTACCACAAAGAAAAGTATTTAGAAAAAGCGATTCCTTTTCACTGCGTTGATCCCGTCAAATTTAGATCTTCACATTGTAAAGCTGTTTAGATGCCTACTGAGATGAATCGGATGATAAATATGGATCCTATAAATGAACCCATTTTAATCACTTATAGCACCCATGCAGAGAGAAGAGCGTGTGGAAGATTTTGGAAAACATCAATGCTAATAATCGATCGAAAGGAGTGAAAACAGTACTTCGATGACTTGCTGTGTGCAGAACGAAGCCACAGCCGAAAGCTTATTGAGATATTCTATAGATAGATACGGTCTTAAAAGTGCTCATTTAAAAATAAAGTTACAGCCGTTGAACCTTCGTTGAACTATTCCACATTCAAATGAAATATCAGGAAGCCATGTTAAGCAAGAGCCTTTGTCCAATCACTCATTTTCTGTAAACAGTGACTCAAATTGGCTATGACCTTTCCAGAGCTGGATACCTAGGAAATGGACAGTTGTACACTTCTTCTCTCACTCAGTTGAATAGCAACAGCAAAAAACAAACAAATGGGAAAATATTAACAACAACAACCACAACTGAATAAAAATAATTGCACATTAACCATCTGAGATAAAGATACTAAAAAAAAAAAAAAGGAAGAAAAAGGTAGAAAAATAAGAGTATGCGCACAAAAAGACAAATACAGAAACAAAAGGAAGTAGGAGAAACATGCAAAATGACAGTAGGGGTGAGAGCGATTGCTTTGCAGCTTTTTTCTTCTCTAGAGTTTCACCTTTGGCAAAGAAACGTTTCACAGCAGTACCTTACATCACACTGGTAAACTCAGAGACAACAAATACAGAGACGGAGAGACAGATCTCTGCTTGTATTTCTTTGCCTTGACTTTCGCTGTACCATGTCCCTCTGTGGCGCTGAACGCTCGTGTCCTATGCGATCATGTATTGAGTGATGGCTCGGAGCGCATACAGCAACTCGGCCTGCAGACGTGCCTCCATCACTAACAAATTTACATGAACCTAAAGGACAAAACGACAAAGATTTGTTTTAAAACACTTATGAAATACTGTATAGCAATTTCAAGCAGATGGTATATTTTATTATTTTGTTTAACTCCATGTCAGAAGCATTTTCATGGCAAGAACAAAATAACAAAAGTCGTACAATTATCAAATGAAATGGTTTAAAAAATGCTTTTTAAAAAAAGCATGCGTTTATTGTTGAGTATCATATTTGATATATCAGGAGCTCATACTCTAGGAGGAAAAAACATCTCAGTTTTACTAAAATGCCTTTTACTTGCTAAAAAATATATACTATCAGTCAAACGACAATGCATGAAGTAAATGGAGTGCAAAATGTTTTCCATCAAAGTTGATCATGATGATAATTTAGAGAATTTACACATCAAATATGATATATTAGGCTTTGTGGGGTTAAGTAGATGCTACTGAAGCGTACGCAGCACAAGTTTTGATAGGAAATCACCTTTTCTGAAGCTTTGACAGAGGCCCAGGACAGTGGGCATAGAGGGGTCTTGCTGGAGTCGGGATAGCAGGCCACAGCTTTAATATAAAGTTTCAATCCACGCTCCAGTAACCGGTTGACTTCCCCATAATCGTAGTCATCATACCTGAGGGCAAAAGTGTCAATGTAATTGCTTTGTTTTTTGCCTTTTTCAGCATTTTCGAAACTAGTTGTTAAGTCACAATGTGTGAGTGTGGAGTTGAAAGCTTGGCATTAGATTTAATTTCATGGTTCTTTTTTGCATTCAAAATGCAAAAGTGTGAAAAACCAGGGAACCAGGGTACCTGATGCCGTAGATACAATGAATGTAGTTCCAGATGGCTCGTTTGAGATCGGGGCTGTGAGGGAAAGGGAGGGAGGCCACAGTGCGGAATCGCTCGTCTAACAAGTGCCCTATATCAGAGTACAGCCTGTTCACCAACGAGAAGCCGTGATCCTCCCATGAATAGTCCTGCACAGAAAGACGAATAAATATACTGGTATTTTAAAGACTGTTAAAGTGCATTATTTCTGCAATTTCTACAATGGCTTATAAACTACCATTCAAAAGTTTGGGACCAGCAAGATGTCAATGTTTCTGAATGAACTCTTTTATGCTCACCAAGGCTGCATTTATTTGATAAAAATACAGTAAAAACCGTAATATTGTGAAATTATATCATAATATAAAATAACTATTTTCTACTTGAATATATTTGAAAATGTAATTTATTCCTGCGATGTCAATGCTGAATTTTCAGCATGATGTCTTCAGAGTCACATGATCCATCAGAAATTATTCTAACACGCTGATTTGCTGCTCAAGAAAAAAAAATTATTTATATGATCAAGTAAATTTTTTCATTAACTGAAAATTCAAAAGAACAGCATTTATTAAAGTGCCTCTATTATAGATTTTTGAAAATTACCTTTCATGCAGTGTGTAACACACCGTGTATAAAGTTATTGTCGCTCAAAAGAAAGAGTTGACTCTGAATCATTGAAACGAGTCGTTTTTAAAACGAATCCCAAGCCGTTTGACGTCTACATGAAACATTAGCATATTGCCCGCCCACTTGTTGGTCTTTTCGCGTTGGTCTGAATGAAAATGCAAAATCATTCTTTGGAGCGGTAAAATAGCCGTTTCCCCAGTAATGCTGTACACAAAGCAGTACCGTGCTGCTTTATCAGGCATTACAGGCATGATGAAATGAAAATGAGACCAATCACCGCAGATTAGCATCACGCAAAGGAAGGGTTTGGAAAAATGAATCGTTGAGCGAATCGTTTGGGAGTCGTTGAGCAAGTAAGGTAAAAATAATTATAAGACCATGAAAGTGTTTTTTGATCTTGCATGCATATCAACCTGTTGTTGGGGACTCCCAAAACCAAAATATGAACCTCCAATCACCGCAGATTAGCATCACGCAAAGGAAGGGTTTGGAAAAATGAATCGTTGAGCGAATCGTTTGGGAGTCGTTGAGCAAGTAAGGTAAAAATAATTATAAGACCATGAAAGTGTTTTTTGATCTTGCATGCATATCAACCTGTTGTTGGGGACTCCCAAAACCAAAATATGAACCTTTCATTACCCATAATAAATAAATACAAAATATTTATATTTACATTTATAACAATATAAAAGTCTGTAATCTTACTTTTGATCAATATAATGCATCCTTCCTGAATATAAGTATTCATTTCACACCCTAAACTTCTCAATATAAGTTGGGATAAAACAAACTGCTTTTAACTATAGGAGTTGCATACGACTCCCATTCAAATCAAATGTAGAAAGCCTACTTGAATGAAATTGGCATTTGAGAGGATTTGTCAGCGGCACAGCACTTCCTTTTAAGGTTTTGAGAGTAACACTAAGTGCTGACAGTCTTGAGAAGGAAGGGCATGAGCTGTAATTCTGACCCTTAGTACCCTTTTATGCTACTACTTTTGGTAGGTGACACCCAATGCAAAGTCTCTGCCCCCACCTGCACCCGGAATACTTGGAAATGGTCCTCCTCCCGTCTGGCAAATTCCTGGTAGCCGAATTCTGGGTCTGTGACGAAGCGGGAGGGGTCTGCGGAGAACATTGCCTCGTCCTCCTCCTCCACATCTGATATGGAGCATTTGAGAAAGAGAAAAGCAGGTTACGAAAGAGGGTCTATGAGGGAGCGATACATACATAAGATAAGGCCCTTGTGTAAAAATAACTCTCTAAACATTCATCCCAATCCAAAATTACATATCCTGTTTACAGCAGCATTGGGAAAAATGGTTACACGACTGGCTTTAGACTGATGAACATCTTACCTGCATGTAGGAGTGTCTGTGAATGGAGTCGGTCTCCTTTTCTTTCCTTGATCTCCTCCTGTGATATTTGAATTTGTTCTCGAATGCAAGCAACTTCACAGCTGGAGTCTAAGGACTAAAAAAAAAGAGACAACAATGCAGGTTATGCCTGGATTACAATGGACTTCACACGGTTTGCACACTGCTGTCAAATAGGGATGTCAAAAATATTGTTACTTAAGTGCCAAGCTGATATTTCAGTTAAAAAAATAAATAAATGATAGCAGTCTTTCTACAGTGTTGATAGTGTCAACTCAATTCCCAAGCATTCAAGTGGTATCACCATGATCAAAGCCAGCCTATTATAAGAATTACAGAACAGCAGGAAGACTGATGTTTTGATGGGGGGTTTTTTGTTGTTGGTAGAATTCATTTGTAGTTTGTGATATAATTCAAGTAATTTTATTGTACACTACCATTTTTTTTTATATTTTATGAAAGAAGTCTTATGCTCACTATGGGTGCTGTTATTCAAATCAAAAACACTGTAAAACAGTATTATTGTGAAATATTACAATTTAAAATGACTTTTTCTTTTTGTAATGTATTTTCAAATGTAATTTATTCCTGTGATGCAAAGCTAAATTTTCTGCATCATTACTCCAGCCATCAGTTTCACATGATCCTTCAGAAATCATTCTAATATGTTTTTTTAATGTATGTGCTATTATGCATCCTTGCTGAATAAAAGTATATATTTTAAAAATCTTCCTTACCCCAAACTTTTGAACAGAAGTGAATAATAATAATACTGCAGTTACGTTTGGGGGGAAAAAATGTAAATAAACAAATAAATAATTGCACCGTTTACTTGATTTGCCTTTATGTTGGCTTTTTATTTGCTCTTTATGTTCTTACCAATTACTGATTATGTATTTTATCCGTTTTTTTATTTAACAGCTGGTTTTTTTTTAATTCAAACCCAAACAAACCTAAACCTAACCTTGTTTACCAACTGAAATGAATGATCATCCGTACCCTTCGCCGTGGCGCCTTCTCTGTGGGTCCAGCAGTGTTGCCGTTGGCAGCGTCACAGAGACAGTAGCCAGGGGGCGTGCCGTGATGCACTCTGGGAGTGGAAGTGGTGTCCGAGTCAGAACCAGAACCGAAAACGAAACTGCAGAGGGAGTGACAGTGGGCCAGCAGAACCACAGCCTGTACGAGCTCAGCCAGAGACCAACACTGCTCCCCCGTCTTGAGCAGAGCCTGTATGTGCGAGCGTGCCGTGAGCCAAGGCTGATGGGCCAGGACCTTGTTGATGTGATCAAGGTGCCGTAGACGCGAGGGTGCAGCCTCTAACCCCTGAAGCCATAACGGGTCTCCGCCAACCCGCAGAAACTGAGCCGAGTGCAGAGACACCAGATACCTACAGTGATGCCGCGCCGCAGCCTGAAACACAAATACAGTTATCAATTAACCTGAGATATTATTTGAGACCGTGATTGACTGTAGAGCATGTTCATACCATGATGGCAATGTAGTGGCGGTAGTGCAGGGGCAATGGGCCATCCATATAGAGGATGTAGTGCTGTGTGCGCAGGAAACTCTCCAGGTACTGTGGGTGAGAGGCCATCTGCTGAGACACCGAGTCCAGACGCCCCCTGTTGGCCAGAGCCTTCATACACAAGAGAGAAGCACGGTCTTTCTCAGAGTTCACCATCACCTGCCAAAAGGAATAAAACACAGCAATGAGAAATTGACAAACAAAAGGCAGATAAAAAAAGCACTTTGCGAATGAAAAACACCTATTTAGTGTGTTTTTTTTAGGTTAATCTTAAAGGAACCACCTTCAAATAACTTTCACTAGTATTTGCAGCATTCCTCAAATAGTTCCCAACAAAAATATAAAGAAGTAAAAGAATACTAGCAAGCAAACACGGCATCTGCCACGGGTCCTGCGGGTATCGAGGGACAGTAATAAACATTCCACACTAACAGCGACCCACTGCTGTTTCAGACCAGACAGATGTCTGGCGACCTCAATCTCCTACTTTCACACCCCAAGATGCTTAAAATACATCCAGATTATATAAATGGCACTGGACACCATACCCATGTATAATCACAGGCACAACTTGGGAGTTGTGGTTCAATCGTCCGTATTTAGCATAGGAGACTATTTTAGACAATTTGTGGAAAGGAAATCGATGTGAAAATGGCAAATACATTGTCCCGATGTCCTTGTTTGACTGGTGTTGAGGAGATCTGCTGATTCATGTCTTTATGTTTTTAAATGCTGACTGTGAAGGCAAACCGAGGCCTTGTGCCTGTGCCTTTGGCCTGCTTTGTGTCTGACTGTGGGATTATGGAAATCCTGCCCACTCCCCTCCTGTTCAAGCACCTCACAGAGAGAGAGAGCAGAGGGAGATTGGAGAGTAGTGAGAGAGCAACTGAAGCAAACAGAAGCAGAGCTGGTGAAAACGGGTTTTATTGGACTACAGAATACATTGTAAAAATTTGTAATCATTTTCTGCCATTTATCAGTGCATAAGATTTTAAGGAAAATGTTTTATAAATGTGCACCAAACTGTGGTTACAATCTCTACTTTGAAATTACTTCATTTTTCTGTTGATGTAACATAGGCTAAGTGGCTTGGGGGGAAAACAATACAATTTCACAATTCCACACAGAAATGCGTCACATTATTGAAGTTCAATGCAATTTGAAGGCCATTTTAAAAGGTCAGTGACACATTTTGACACAATAGTGGTAGATTTTTGATTAACTAACAGCAACGGAACTACAATAGCTCTAGGGCAATATGGGCAAAATATGACCACAGTATTTTTTCCCACATCATTCGATATCAATATTTATCACAATATTTATCTCATTCTATTAATGGGGAAGAAAATGCTTTCCACATGTTTAAGGCCTTGAGAATGAATGTAAACATAATTTGTTTGTTTACAAGCAAATGTCTACGTCTACTTTTTAGAGTCCCACAAAATCAGTTTTATTTTTTCCCAAACTTGTGTCCAATTATTTTCTATCATTATTATACATGATTATTATTACTTTAATAAGTACATTTTATTATATAATAGTAATATAACAGTGAATTTCTTTAAGTTAAACCAAACTTTTATTTTGTCAGTTTGTCATGAAGACCTTTGAGTTTCAGTTTGCATTTGATAGATTTTCTCAAGTGAAATGGCGAAATGCTGGTGAAGTGACTCTCATGCAGCTCTGGGGGGGGGAGAAGAGGATGAGCTCTGACTGAATGCAAACATGAACGTGGTCACGTATTGACTGAAATCTTGTTACATAGTTACGGGGGACAACTGAGAGCCTTGGCCAAAACAGCTCTGGGCCATCATAACTCTTCCTGACAGTACTGAAGATTCACTCTGACAGCACGGCACGTACTGCGCCTACAATCCCTTTGAGTCACTATACATTTTGGGTCTCCAAATACCACTTAAAATCACATTAAAGAACTGATAGCAATTAGCCAACTGAAAATCTGTTCACGTTCTACAGTGCTGAATCTTGTTGAGGAAAATATGTGGGTAATAAATTACACCCAGGCCTACGGACTGCTTGTCTGGTCCTGGCTCTTCATACAGTGTCTGACAGAAAAGAGAGGGTTATAAATCGTCCTAGAGGACAGCTGCGATAGCACATGCATAGATAAGAAAGAAACGCCGTTCCTGCACAAGGGACACTATGAAATAAAGAAAAAAGGGTTACTTGCGGGACATCATCAATATCTCTCCAGACAGGTTCCTCAAGTAAATGTTCATGAAAGGGAATGAACTTAAACACTAAACCATCTGTCAATATTTGATTCTTAAACCAATTTAACATGCAATTCCGATGAAAAGTAGTTTTGCACTGTGGCGCAGACAGTGGTTTGCCCTCTATTGGAAAATGTATCAGCCTAACCTGTTTACTGATGTATTTGAATGCCTGAAACTTACCATTTAATATAAAGTCATTTAAAAAAAATGACACTACATCTGGTTGATGACTAATTTTAAGAGGCAACTTGATGGAACAGGAACAAAGACACTCTTCTATCAAGGAAAAAGATCCGTTTCAAGGTGGCACTGAAAGCTGCGATATGTGTCTGCCCGAGATACAGGTGTCTTGTCATTCAATTCAGTCGAGGTTTGCGAAACATGTGCAAGCACAACATACCATACAAAGCATCATGGACTAACATTACGGTTACCTAAAAAGTCTGGCATTTATACTCCAGATCAAGTGCCTATCCAGATCTATTTCTGCATAACTTCCATACATTTGTTGTGTCCCAAATGACACGCCATACTACGCACTCTACTAATATATGAACTTTATAAAGTTATTTTATCTAATAGACCATTTCCCCTGTATTACATAAAGAAAGGCTGCAACAGTTGAGTGAATGTTCAACATTCCACTTTTCATTGTTTTGGTTAATTAAGTGCATCATCTTGGTATATGAAGTGAAACTTTTTCTTTCTGGAATTTCCAGTGTTAACATACTACTGTAAAAAATGCTTTTTCAATTAAAACAAAGATTACCAGGATACATTTTACGAGTAAATACAATTTCAGTCTTTCAACTTTAAAATTTCATGTTTAAAATTGTTTGTAAAATTTACTAGCAAGTATTTATACTATAAACTGGCATAGAATAGTGCACGAGTACGTGAAGTAGGATGTACCTATTGTTTAGATACCATAAGCATTTTGCGCTGGGAAAAGCTCTAAGAATACAGAAGTGAAAATACGGTCAACCAAGAGCCATATTGGCAATAAAGCACAAGCCACATAGGGACAAGTAATTTAAACAAGACTAAGATGTTGAGGTCAGCCTCAAACAACAGTTCAAACACTATTCTCCATTGGGACGCAAGTACAAGTGCACTTTCCCTGGTAAACAGATCACATGTCTCCGAGCCTGGTCGCAATGCCCAAAACTCCTCAGCAGTGACCCAGAAAAACAGGCAACTGCAAATACAGATATTTTCAACATGCTATCGTGGTTCAATACCGAGTGTTCATTTCACAGCCCGTATCGGCAGCCGCAGAAAATCGCAAGGGGGAGTCTGTATCCCTGGAACGAGACAAAACAACTTGCAATTAACTACTAATGAAACTTCAGAGGGAAATTAGAGACTAATGCAAGTCATTTGAGAAGCTGAGAGACGCTCACACACCCACACAGGCGCGGCTCAATGAAACGCAGCAGCAGATGCTGTCAACCAAGGTTTTTGTGTATATATATATATATATATATATATATATATTATATCAAGCTGCGATCAACAAAATATGTTGGTTAAACTTGTCAATTAGGGTATAAAGTTCATACATAACACCAGCACAGTTCATGGTCAACAGAGTAAGGTTATTTTGAAACTTGGGGCGATTTTTTTTGTCAATAGAGTATGCCTCATCAGCACCAGCAACATGCACCGACATGTCTTTACCAACAGTCAACACGAAACAGGAAGTCAGTCTCATATCCTCTTGGCGAGTCCCTCAAATTCAGCCGAAATCTTGTTTATTGGGTAAAGGTGCCACTTTCGGCAATCATAATTCCTGTTTCCGTGAACAATGACAGCATACACGTCCTTTACATAATAATTCAGTTATTTGTTTGATTAAAACAAGTTACACAAAGCAGCATCTGTGTGATGTATTAGAGATCAAAAAAAGTGCAAGATCACTCCATGAACAAACAAAACAGCATTTAGATTTGAATATATTTGCATGTACTCTTGCGTTTACATTTGAATGAGTTAATGTGTTTATTCTTGCTGGTCAAATACAAAAAAAAAAAAAAAAAATCTGAAAAGGGCCTTAAAGGGATAGTTCACCCAAAAATTAAATTCTGTGATCAGTTGCTCATGTCGTTCAAAAACTGTTCTTCATGCAAAGAAAGTCAATGATCACCAAAACTGTCTGGTAACCAACATTCTTTAAAATATCATCTTTTGTGTTCTGCAGAAGAAATTAAGTCATACAGGTTTGAAACTACTTAAGTAAGTGACGCCAGAATTTTTATTTATGGGTGAGCGGTCCCTTTAATTATGCGACATATCACCACTTAAATAAAACAGACAAACATAAGCCTACTGCTCATCTGTTTTCATTTGAGGACAGTCTAAACATGAGGCTCTAAACTGATGGGGGGCTTCGGGTCAGGGCCTGAGTCCAGAATAAGAGCAAGATGCGATATTCAATCTGCATTCTCAGAAGGCCTGGAGGGCTCAGTCCTTGACATGCGCAAATGCCCCAACTGCTGTTGCACAAACCCCATCTCTCTCCCTCTCTACAAAGGAAACACTATTTTGGCTTGCCAACCTGCAAGCCAGGAAGAACAAAACAGCCAGCTGCACCTCACTGGGGATTGGACTGAAACGAGGCCTGCAGCAAACACACACACACACAAATAGACAAACACGGCAAGCCACATATGGATGCACTCAGACGACCAGGAAGACTGACATTAACATAAGCAGACAGTGTGACATACATTCAGCAGCTTGCATATGACAGATAGCGAAGTGAAGGCAGATTATTGATGAATCACATTTCCGCTTGGGAAGTCCAAGATTTGGTTTGCTGGTGAAATCAGTTGTCTGTTATTTTGCCATCTTTGTGCTTTTGTGGTCTTCATATTCAGAAGTGAATCATGGTCAGCTATGCCTCGAATGTATATCTATATATAAGCTGCATAATCATAATGGATTGCAATACACGTTTAAACTTTACCGTACTGTTCTGACAAGGTTACAAAAGCAGCATAGTCAGGAGTCAGGATATTAAAAGTGCTCTCTATGTGAAACACATCAGGGAGCTTTGAAACACGTATTGTGCCATTATAATACTTATCACCTACAGACATTTAAAAAAAAAAATGTATATTTTACAAATGGACCAGAGGTTAATTGTGGCGGTGGGGGGGGGGGGGGGGGGGGGGGGGCGAGAAAACGAGTTTAGAATGTTAACAATCCAAGTACAAGCCTAGGGTATTTTCTTATGTGCTGGCAAATGAGAGCATATATCTGAGAAATGTTTAAATGGCACATTCCTCTATTGTTCTCCTATATGCGCAGCAGCGCCATCGCCTCAGGTTGCAGGAGGTACTGCAGGCGAATGAGGAGAAAAACAACTTTGATTGGCAGTACATCAGCATCACATCACACAAACGGGAGAAAGAGAAAACGCTCACACAACAAGACCAAAAAGTCAAGCGTGAAGAAATGTCACTAAATCAATCCTCCCGTGCAGATTGTCGTGTCACGGCTTACGGTTGGAACTACAAAGGGCTTTGTGTTTGCCCGACGTGAGCTGCGAAACATTACACTACCACAGCGCCGCAGACAAATGACAGATTTTCATTTTCACAAAAGCTTATACGCAATCATTTGGTTAAAGAATATACTTAAACATGAAAATAAATACAAAATGAAGGAAAAAATGAGTTGAATGTTCGATGAAAGAATGCTCCTATAGCCAAAAATACTCAACCAGTTGTCTTCGTGTATAAAACAGGAGATTCTTCTTACAAACAACTCAACAAAGAGCTCAGACGTGACGGAGAGTGTCAAACCTACAAACCTTCAGCATGCCAACATCAATAGAAAAGCTTATTTTCATGTAACGTTAGGTTTAGGTTATAGGTAAACCCATAACCATGGCTTAATCTGCACCAAAGGCTTTCAAAGATTGTTCCAGACTGCAGTCTTAATTCCTCGTGGAGATTAAATGTTTTGCTGTTAATACTTGGAATATTCAACAAATACATATCTTTATGAGTAGTCAACATAATAGTTGCAACGAAACAATGACTATCTAAACCAAACTGAAGTATGAACTAAGCATATGCACGACAAAGAAGCGTATTACTCTTTGTCATGAACGCAATGGATTTGCACAGCTTTTCATTCCATAAAATACTAAACAAAAAGACAAAATATGTCATAGGATCACTATTGTTATGCGAGTTCAAAGCTGCCTTAGATTACAGATGAATTGCAGCACAAACGTTAAGTCCAAGAGAATTAAACTGCACGACTGCAGCTTTACATGGTGACAACACTTGTCTTGTCAAAAATTAAGTTAATTTCAGGAACAATAAATACTTAACACAATGAATTGGCGTTTAAATCTCGAAGCAAATATAGTCATTGGTTGAAAAGTGGCGGACTGATTCTACAAATATGTGAACGACATTCGTGTATGCTAGAAAATAACGGATATTACTTATGGCGACTAGCCTTTTCTTTCAAAGAGGGACTTTTGAATATGTATTCAAAAATAATGACACATGTATATGTTTGAGGAGCGTTTTAACCCCGAATGAATGAATGAACGACATTAAAGAGACGATGGTTTTGCTAAGTAGACGAACTGTCAACTTTAAAACTTCCCAGCAAGAGTCTAGATAACGTACAGCGACGGTTTACAGTTACTATCCTCACTTCAGGCATTTATGTTACCTGATTTTGAACGAACTGGCACTGGGTTCCAAGGCGATAGTCCATGTTTTTCGTGCAGATGATCATTTTCCTCCCTGTATGTGCATGAATGCGGCTCCTCTGGCTTTCTTGGTTCTTCACAGCGACTCGCTAACAAAGGCCAAGCCGCTATGAGATCTACATGTCCGGACGTAGAGCTGCAGTGTCACTGGGCGAAAAAACTATTGACTGACACTTCCACAGTGATGGCGTCCAATCAGAGTGCTAGGGAGGCGGGTCTAAGAGTGGAGCGTAGGCCAATCAAATTTTAGTACTGCATTTTATTGCGACGGCTGTGTTTGTCCGAGCCAATGAGCGTTGACATGTGGTGGAAAAGTACCTGTCTGTTAAACACGTTAAGCCCGCCTACTTTCATGACGCAACGCAGCCTGACAACTGATTACAGTTTTTTTTATTAATATAAAGTAAAATAACAATTACAATTGTAAACATAGAGACAAAGCAAAAGCAAAAAACATATTGCCAGTGTAACACAAAACAACAACAGCATAATAAAATTACATCTTAAAAAGACACAAAGGAAGACTATAAAGAGACAGTTTTCATTGGTTTTGGATTAGTAGAACTTTGTATAGTTTCAAGGTCAATTCTGAGGAAAGAAAAGAAAGGCTTAGAGCTAGTAAACTTTTGTTTATGACAACTGATTACATTACTGCACTGTCTGTGAGGATAACTTATAGCTTATTTTGAATGAATTATTTGGCCGTTATTTCACTCGACCAAAGATGTCTAAAAATGTGATAGACACTGAAAAAAACAACAAACATGAAAATCTTACTGCTGTTTAAATGAACTCATTTGAAGCTCTATATCCTGCACTGTCATAATCTAAGCACTAATTAGAAGAACCTTGAAGAGTTTTATTTTAGTAATTGGGAGAAAAATGATCCACTATCCCTGTGTTTCAATATGCATACTAGTATTCGAGATTAGTAACACTAATACTATTTAGGGTTAATATTATGGAAATTGGGATGCAGGCAGGGTATAATTTTTTTTATAACAGAAGTCATTCTTGGTCTCCAATTTTCCTCCAGTTAAGACTCTCACAGTTACATAGGTCTGCTATTTTTTTTTTTTACCATAACTGAAATATGTTTGAGTAATCAGGCATTTGGAAAATTGCACAATAATGCACAAAGAGACAATTCTGGGAGCTTGTGAATACACATTGCACATTGCTTAAAATCAAGGAGCCTGGGACAAACTTTTATGGGTGTAACTCTGTCCCCTGTGCCAATTGAGTAGGCTTTATCATACAGGACCTTAGTCACAGAATCCAGGACAATGTTCCTGGTTGTTCCCTCCCTGAAAACAGCCCTCCATAAATACACTGGGACTTTAAAAACACTGCTTTAAACTCAGATTGAGTCATTCAGTTAGTATAAATCCCCATATCATTCAAAGGTAAACAGCTAGATTTTTTGTATTCTTCCTCAGACTGTTCATTTACAGCATCAAAGATTTTATTGGCTAATACTGAATATGTAATATTTTGAATAAAACCAGATTTGGAGTTTCATATCTATCAGCTTTTATGTCATATGCACTACTCCTCCTCTATTATTCACATGGTGCTCTGTAAGGACGGTCTAGGTCAGGGAACATATAAACTACATTTCATATGCCTTTAACCTTACAGGAAAAAAACAATGGTATTTCCATTGTAAAAAAAAAAAAAGGTAATGAGTTCTGAAGAATATTATGAATTGTGAGTATCAGTAATAAATAGGATAAAGTGAATGATATGACATTTTAATTTACTCATATTTAATTTAGAGATTATTTTGAGCAAACACTACCATATAACATAATAATGGAGGCTGTTTAAGAGAAGGCGAGTCAGCTTTTTCATATGCTTTATTACAGAGCGTCTCCTAAACTAGTATGACAAAAGTGCTTATTCAACGTGTGATGTCTTCCAGTTCTGTTCCCCTCAAGTCAGAGTGAACTTATCAAAAGCCTTCGGGCCTTCATTATCTGGACTCATTCCGTCATCTCTCAAACTACAAATGAATGGGGCTCTTGTTTTGGAAAAGTTATTAGTATTTGGAATACAGTCAATTCTGTGCTGCTAAACTGCATTTGCGTTGGATGTAGATATATGTGACACCTGCAGATTAGATCCTAGAGTGAAAGTGCATCCTGGACACTAAAAATGTCATCTCATTATTGTTTTTATTATTGTTTGTAAAAAGAGCATCAGACAATCTTGCAAAAGAATTATTTTAGGAGAGTGGAACAACAAAAAAGAAAGGCTTAGAGCTAGTAAACTTTTGTTTATGACAACTGATTACATTACTGCACTGTCTGTGAGGATAACTTATAGCTTATTTTGAATGAATTATTTGGCCGTTATTTCACTCGACCAAAGATGTCTAAAAATGTGATAGACACTGAAAAAAACAACAAACATGAAAATCTTACTGCTGTTTAAATGAACTCATTTGAAGCTCTATATCCTGCACTGTCATACTCTAAGCACTAATTAGAAGAACCTTGAAGAGTTTTATTTTAGTAATTGGGAGAAAAATGATCCACTATCCCTGTGTTTCAATATGCATACTAGTATTCGAGATTAGTAACACTAATACTATTTAGGGTTAATATTATGGAAATTGGGATGCAGGCAGGGTATATATTTTTTTATAACAGAAGTCATTCTTGGTCTCCAATTTTCCTCCAGTTAAGACTCTCACAGTTACATAGGTCTGCTATTTAAAAAAAATTTTTTTTTTACCATAACTGAAATATGTTTGAGTAATCAGGCATTTGGAAAATTGCACAATAATGCACAAAGAGACAATTCTGGGAGCTTGTGAATACACATTGCACATTGCTTAAAATCAAGGAGCCTGGGACAAACTTTTATGGGTGTAACTCTGTCCCCTGTGCCAATTGAGTAGGCTTTATCATACAGGACCTTAGTCACAGAATCCAGGACAATGTTCCTGGTTGTTCCCTCCCTGAAAACAGCCCTCCATAAATACACTGGGACTTTAAAAACACTGCTTTAAACTCAGATTGAGTCATTCAGTTAGTATAAATCCCCATATCATTCAAAGGTAAACAGCTAGATTTTTTGTATTCTTCCTCAGACTGTTCATTTACAGCATCAAAGATTTTATTGGCTAATACTGAATATGTAATATTTTGAATAAAACCAGATTTGGAGTTTCATATCTATCAGCTTTTATGTCATATGCACTACTCCTCCTCTATTATTCACATGGTGCTCTGTAAGGACGGTCTAGGTCAGGGAACATATAAACTACATTTCATATGCCTTTAACCTTACAGGAAAAAAACAATGGTATTTCCATTGTAAAAAAAAAAAAAGGTAATGAGTTCTGAAGAATATTATGAATTGTGAGTATCAGTAATAAATAGGATAAAGTGAATGATATGACATTTTAATTTACTCATATTTAATTTAGAGATTATTTTGAGCAAACACTACCATATAACATAATAATGGAGGCTGTTTAAGAGAAGGCGAGTCAGCTTTTTCATATGCTTTATTACAGAGCGTCTCCTAAACTAGTATGACAAAAGTGCTTATTCAACGTGTGATGTCTTCCAGTTCTGTTCCCCTCAAGTCAGAGTGAACTTATCAAAAGCCTTCGGGCCTTCATTATCTGGACTCATTCCGTCATCTCTCAAACTACAAATGAATGGGGCTCTTGTTTTGGAAAAGTTATTAGTATTTGGAATACAGTCAATTCTGTGCTGCTAAACTGCATTTGCGTTGGATGTAGATATATGTGACACCTGCAGATTAGATCCTAGAGTGAAAGTGCATCCTGGACACTAAAAATGTCATCTCATTATTGTTTTTATTATTGTTTGTAAAAAGAGCATCAGACAATCTTGCAAAAGAATTATTTTAGGAGAGTGGAACAACAAATATTGTATTAGAGTCTCATCACTGTTTGATTATCTGTGCAAAATGTAACAAACGGGACAGAATATGATGTCAGGTTTCTGCTTTTGTATTTGAGAGTGTTTGCTGACATGCCTTGGGCCTTCATTATCTGGACTCATTCCGTCATCTCTCAAACTACAAATGAATGGGGCTCTTGCTTTGGAAAAGTTATTAGTATTTGGAATACAGTCAATTCTGTGCTGCTAAACTGCATTTGCGTTGGATGTAGATATATCTGACACCTGCAGATTAGATCCTAGAGTGAAAGTGCATCCTGGACACTAAAAATGTCATCTCATTATTGTTTTTATTATTGTTTGTAAAAAGAGCATCAGACAATCTTGCAAAAGAATTATTTTAGGAGAGTGGAACAACAAATATTGTATTAGATTCTCATCACTGTTTGATTATCTGTGCAAAATGTAACAAACGGGACAGAATATGATGTCAGGTTTCTGCTTTTGTATTTGAGAGTGTTTGCTGACATGCCTCGAATGCATCTATATGGTAATTAGGGGCCAATTATTCCTCTAGTTTCAAGGGCAAAGACACTCTGATTAGAATTACCATATTCATCATATTATATCTGCCAACATCAACATCTACTGTAACTCTGCATGAAAGTAGTCATGCAGTAAAGAAAATGTTTTGTAAATGTCTATTTTAACAACAAACTGGATGCATATCTGGTACAACATACAAGAAAGTATGAATATCAATACATTGTCTTTTTAAAGCTAAAACATAATTTACGAAATTTCTTAAAAAAATGTAGGACCACATCTGAAGTGCATTAAAAACATTTGTGTAATATCAAATACTTTATTTCTTTGCTCTGTGTGTTAAAGTAAAAATCACATTTTGTTTTGTTAATCAAAGTATATTTTCCTAAATAGAGAGTGCACTGTAAACAAATTCAAGTGTCTTTTACTCTAATCTGAGGCAGAACAAGCAGTCGATTCAGCTGCCCCGCTCTTCTGGATCCCTCAAAAGTGCCAGTTACTGCATCATAAGTACTGAGGGTGACCCAGAGTGCAGTGAAAGCTTAAAAAATAAGACCCTCTGTCCCACAAGCAGAAGGGACTTGTGTTCCTGTGTTAACAGTGAATAACAGACTTTTGAAAAGGCTTCGGATACATACAGAAACTCACAATAGCACAAACTGATGCATAAAGAAGCAACGTATAAACCAGTATTATTTAAAAAATGTACAATTAATTAAAGTACATTTGTTCAT